GAGCTACTCAGCTAAATTCTAGCTCACAATGGAGTTGAAGAATAAAAATGTCGAAATCAAATATAGAATATGTAAACACAACCATTTGGCTGTCCATGGCATCTGTGCCTTAGAGAGTATGATTTTTATCTGGGGGTAGCTAGTGTTATTTTAGAGTTCTCTGCATTTTGGGGGGGGGGCTATTGGTACATCCTGAGCCCTTTTCACACATTTTATTTTGAAGCAGAGTTGTTAAATTACTAAATTGCCCAGGTGGAGTTCAATCCTGTGATCCCCGTGCCTTAGCCTTCCAAAGGTCTGGGGTTACAGTTATATGCCACCATGTACAGCAATCTACTTGCTTGATTGCTTTCCCTAACCCCTTTCTATTGGATTTTTAAGGGAAAAAGATGAGATATTAAAATAGAAAAAAGATAAAGCATAGGTTACAAAAGTACTTACAAGACAAACTACTTAAAAGACAGAAAATACTTAAAAGTCCAGCAGTCTACTTGTTTAGTTGCTTTCTCTAATCACTTTCTATTGGATTATGAAGAAAAAAATGAAATATTAAAGCAGAAAAAAGGCATAGGTTACAAAAGACTTAAGAGACAAAAACATCTATGTAATTGTGGCAGTCACTTTTACCTACCCAAGGAAAATAAGAAGAGTGAATCTCATAACTGACTCTCAAGAGCTTACAGATAGTTAACTAGAGAACAGGAAGTGAAATTGGGCAAGAGATATCTGTTACACACAATTATATGTATTAGCTTCCTGTTCATGGATCTTTTTGTTGCCATCTACTGTCGCCTGTTAAATCATTTACAGAAACAAAGCAGTTAAAATTTAATTTGTTGATATGTCTTTTGTCAGTTACTTTTTTATCTGGTTTTATTTTTTCAATGTTAGAAACAATGACCTGCTCACAGAGTGCTATAGTTCAGAGGCAAACATTGAATTTGAAAATGATTCTTTTATAAATGAAGTCGATCAAAATTTCCGGCAGCTCTGTTGCCTGGAGGGAAGTTTCCTGGGCTCCAGCCTGTTATGCCTAACAATGACCTGGGGAAGACTGGACAGATGGCTGAACTGAAGTGTTTCTCATGTTACAGTATTTTTTTCCTATTGTCTCTCTTGAATTTTACAGCAAAACAAGGAAATGCTATAATTTTCAAAAGGTATCAAAAGGATCTTCACTACATGTTGAGGAGTCATAAGTACTAAACAGGAAGTATCTTGAAAATTTTTTCTTCCTGTTTTAGACATGTTTTCTTGGATAACATATGGCTGCTTTCTGTGGATAATATAACTTATCTTTCTTACTATCTTTGTAGCTAGAAATACAAATAAGATCAGTGGGTTTACTTCTGTCTTTTACTGCAGTGCCCCCAGATGCCCACTGTCGCTAAGCCTAGCAACACCATCATTTCAGTTTTGAGTGTTGCTGAGGCAGAAACTTGGGACTCATTCTTTACACTTCTTACATCTGCCCGACACCAGCAGTGCTGGAAGCACCAACACTTTGCTTCCTAAACAGATCTCGAAGCTGCCTCTCTCTCTCTCTCATTGCTGATGCTGTCACTCTGGTCCAGCTCTCACCCCAGCTACTGCCATCAGTACCTAAGAGTGCTGGGTGCAGTTACCTCTGCATTCCGTGCCCAGCAAAATGCTCTTTCCAGTGCGAATCTGCTGCAGTCTTTATGCTGCCTGTAGTTTCCTATCACTTTTGGGCCAGGACAGACTCCTTCCTTGGCACCTGCACCCCTTGCTTACCTTCCAGCCTCACCTACCCTCAGCCATCTCCTGGTGTTGCTACTTTGGCCAGCTGCCCCTCTTCCATTCCCTCCAGATTTCCTGCTTTGAGTGCCTTTCCCCACTGCTCTAACTCCATCAGCCCTCTTTCTCTCTCAGAGCTTAGTCTGCAGCACAGGAAGCCTCTCTGCTCTGCCCCACCTTCACCCAAAATGCACGGGTCAAGACCCATTGTTTGCCCTCCCAGGGCTGCGGCGAGGTATCGCTCCCTCACAGCCCCTCGACAAGAAAGAGGTTTATGATCTGTGCATCAGAAATAAGGGGCTTAAGTGAGAAAACAGAAACAGACAAGTATTTTTATTTAATAATCAACTTCTCAAAATTCAAGCCAATATGTCTAAATCAAAGAAAAATATACATATAAATATTATACTTAAGAGTTCTTAATGTATCTGTGTATTCAAAGTGGTTAGGATAGATATATAGTTACATTCTCTTAATGAATAGAGTGATTTGTTCTAATGGTGTTTGTAAATAGGATAT